ATTTCTTTTGATTTGGATCTTGCACCAAGAGGCATCCCAAGGTAAACAGTTGGTAGGGACCCAACTTCTCCTCCCAATATCTGAGTCAGTTGCCCCATGTTGTTAACTTCATTAATGGGAAAAATATTGCTCTTTCTCCCGTTAATGTGTAATCCTGATACTCGTTCAAATAAAACCAAAATGATCCTTAAGAATCTAAGTTGGTCTTTTTCAGCATCACAGAAGACTAGAGTATCATCAGCATATTGGAGATGTGTGATCTCTAGATTGTTAGCCCCACTCCTGTTTACCTCAAAGCCTTTAACCCATCCACTGATTTTAGCCGTTTTGATCATGTTGTTCAATCCTTCCATGGCTATGATGAATAGAAAGGGAGATAAAGGATCACCTTGTCCGAGACCTCTATGTGAGTGAAAATAACCTTTAGGACTTCCATTTATAAGAATGGAGAATTTCACAGTAGATATGCAAAATTTCATCCATCTAATCCATTTTTGCCCAAAACCCATTTGTTCTAACATTCTTAGTAAGCTCCAGTTCACATGATCATAGGCCTTCTCGATATCCAATTTGCATAAGATTCCAGGTTTTTTCTTTTTTATTCTTGAATCCACAGCTTCATTGGCAATCATCACTGCATCAATTATTTGTCTTCCTTTGATGAACGCCATTTGTTGAGCATCAACAAGTTTCCCAACCACCCTCTTAAGTCTTTCAGTTAAGACTTTTGAGAGCAGTTTGTAGAAGCTCCCTATTAGACTGATCGGTCTGAAATCTCTTAATTCTTTCGCACCTGTCTTCTTTGGAATCAATGCTATATATGTTGCATTGAAGCTTTTCTCAAACATCTCATGTGAATGGAAGTTGTTAAAAGCCGCCATGATATCTTCCTTCAAAATGTCCCAACACTTTCTGAAAAAACCCATTGTGTATCCATCTGGACCTGGAGCCTTGTCACTTGCACACATCTTCCGACTGCTCAGCACTTCTTGTTCCTCAAAGTTACTCTGTAAAGACTCTCTTTCCGATTCAGAAATGCTTGAACTATTTTCGAAATTGACGGTTGGTCTCCACTGTTCAGGTTCTGTGTATAGCTCCTTGTAGAATTCAATAATCTCGTTCTCT